CAAAGACAGATAATCACGTAACAACTTCTTCTTCTTTCGATTTCTGCTAACTCGAACCCAAAGAACACGCATAAAAAACTCACCAAATTACTTTTTGTCTCTTTTTAATTTACCCATGACAACAAATATAGCATAAAATATAATCACTCACAAATATCTCCATCTAAGGCGGTGGTGTTTCAAATTTTAAACCAAATAACCACAACACACCCCTCGACTTTTAAACTATTTTCAAAATCAACCTCAAACTTTATAACCAAAATAAATCCGGTTATCACAATTCATGGGTAAACAAAATCATTGGATTATTGAGGATTAATTTAATTTTGGTTTTAAATTTTTTAATAAAAAATGAAAAGTGGACAAACTTATAATTTAAGCGAATATAGAACTACAGTTTTAAATAACACTTAATATGTTAATTTATCAACAATAAATATAAATAATTAATTTTAAAATAATAATATATACAAATAAATATTTAAAATCATTATGAAATAATTATGAGGTTAAATTGATGGAAGTGAGGCCCACACAGGCAATAATAACCAGCATTGCACGTGAAGGTTTGTTTGTATCCAAAGTTAAGTCCTATTTCCCATTTAATGTCGAATTGTGAATTCATTTTTGCAATTATTTGCATTATAATTTGTATGTTAGAAAAATTGCATTAAAATAGAAACAATTTTTATCTAATTCTTATTTTGGGGAATCAACTTTTAAAATCGTCATTTTAGGGAACCAACTTGCATCTGATTCCTATTTTGGGGAAACAACTTGCAAAATAATTATAGAAAAATAACTAAAATTCGTTTTTTTTTCAAAAATTAATTCAATAAAATCTATTTTTTATTTCAAATCTCGTTTTTTTTTTAATTCAGATATATCAAATTGAAGATTTTTCAAAAAAAATCCAAATTACCACGATAAAAATTGTTTTTAATGCAATAAAAAAAGTCAATTTAATAGAAAAAAATTAATTGATGCAATAAAAAAATAAATATTAAATATCACATTCAAGATTTTTATATCTAACCAATTCGTATCAATATYAAAGTTTAAATCAAATTTGGCAAATCAAACCAAAAGTTTGATAGAGACCCTTAAATTATCTGTTACAAGTTCAACAGATCAACCAGACCCTTAAATAAACAAAAAGTTTGATAGAGACTCCTAAATAACGATTTTGAAAGTTGGTTCCCCAAAACAGGAATCAGGTGAAAGTTGGTTCCATTTTGGTGTAATTTTCCCTTGTAAGTTTTTATTATATGTTTACGACATGTATCGATGTATAAAAATGTTTTCAATGAATATATAAATTTATTTAGGTTGGAATACAGATAATATGTTTGCTTCCATTTAGAAGAAATCTGAGTAAAAATCATGTTGATTGTTAAATAATTATTCTTGAAAATAATTATGAAATATGTGTTAAAACATAATTATGATAATTACATGATGTAAATTATAAATATGTATAACTATATTAATGTTTTAGAACAATTATATAATTATTACAGATAATCGTTAAACCTTGTTTAAGTTATGGACCAAAAATAATATAGTTCATATAAATAGGATGACAGGCCCAAACAATTTCAAGTGATTCAGTTTTAGAGTTTTGACTATCAGATATAATAGAGAAAAGAATCTAGAGTTCTTTTGGCTAGCATTCGATGGGAGTAATTAGCGTGATCATGTGTGGATCAACTGTAGAGGAAACCTGATTTGGTTTCTGAATGCTTAGACGATACCGACTCCCGATCGATAAAGGTACAAACTCTAAACACCCTGTAATATGTTTGATTATCAATGCTATGTTATAAAACATTTGACAAAGAACTCTTAAAAACCATTTTTATGCATGAATTACTGTTTATTAATTCATATTACTTATAATTCAAGATTACAAGTAATTTTGTGTAACTACATCTTATTGAAGCTCCATTTTTAAATTTGTGTGACTAACTGCAGATAAACATAATCAAATACAATATAAACATCCATTTTAAACATAGAAAATTTAAAATATAATTAAGATAATCATTAAGTTCTTACATAATGTTTAATTATTATCTTTGTAAAAAAAATATACTATTAAAACAAAAATAGATTACTTTGTTATTAAATCTGAATTAAATTATAATAAAAAATGAATTTAAGAAGTTACACTAAAAAACGAAACTATTAAATAGTTAATCCGATATTGTATCGATTTATTTTTTTCAAATTTGTATGTTATCTTCAAATTTATATTTCATTCAAAAATAAAAATATTATCGTTTTCTCAAAATAACATAAAGTTATATTATATTGATAGAGACAAAAAATAAAAAAACTAAACATTAAAATCAAAATTTATCTTACTAAATTACGTGAATACCCTTCTAGTTTGTTTAAATACATGAATGGATTTGATTGAATTTTCATCTAAAAAGCTTTCTCGCTTAATTGTATAACCAAAACTTATTTTTCCGTTGCGTTCAATCACTTGCAAAATCTTTAAAATCCGAACACGATTAATTTTTAATTTAATAACGATAATTTAAAATTTTATTAAAATAAATAAATGAAGTTAAATTGCCATTTTGTCTTAATTAAATCTAAAGAATAACAATCAATTTAATCCATATCATCTTAATTTTGTCAATGATTTTAAATTGCTATGATCACATTAAAAAAATTAAAACAGATTTAAATGTCATTGCATTTGTTCTCTTATAAATATTTTGTAAGTTCAAAGATGTTCGTTTTTTATAGAATACATACTCTAATACTATATTTTATATGAGTTGTTAATAAACATTACTGATTTTATATAATATGTATATTAAGGGGGTGTTTGAGGTTGCTTATAAAAACAACTTATTGACTTATTTCGGTATGACACCAGTAATAAGCACTTTCGAGTGTTTGGATAAACACCTTATACCGGTGCCAAACCGGTAATAAGGAGTTTTTGAAGAAATTAAACATTTTTTACTTATAATAAGTTGATAAGTGTTTTTGTAGAAAGGTATAAGTTGTTTCAAATAAGAAATCTCAAACACCCCCTAAATCACAAGTTAATTTGTTACATACAACTTTTTAAACGTAAGATTTAGTTATAAAAAAAAAAGGATTGCTTTGAGTTTTTTTAATTTTGCTATACTTCCTTTATTTAATTAATAATACTTGGTCAGGTTCTTCTCCAACCCTTAACGACTGCTTCACTATTGTAGTGTAATCACTAGTTTGTCTACTTCGAAAGGTTAAGAACAGAGAGGTGGTTGGTCCATGAAAGCATGTACATGGTAACACTATTATTTTCTGTTGAGAGAATAGGTCAGCAATAACCCTTTCAAACTCAGCTGGAATGTGCCTGATATTTAGGAGAATAGCTTTGAATAAACCAATCTGCATCGTGGACCTATTCTTATGCAGATAGCTTAGGATTCTAATTTTCTGTTTTATCATTTTTGTTTCTTTGCTGTAATTACTGCTCTATTTAAAGGGCCAAGCAGCTTGAATAAAATCATTGAGTTTTTCCTCAGTAAAGTAGAGTTTTAATTCTCTTCATTTTCATCATAGTGACGGACCTACATTAGAGCATATGTTGGCATGTGCCACCATATTATTCCTCCGTTGAAGGGTAAAAATTTTAGGTTCGTGAAAAGTGCAACTGTATTAATTTGTTATGTATCACCTTATGTATTTTGAAACTACAAGAGAACAATTTTAATTTGGTAGAGTAGGTTTACAAGGCTTTTATTCCACCACAAACCCAGGTTCGAATCTTGTTAGTGTCATTTTCATAGTTAAATGGTATCACCCTTTAAAAAAAATTTGGTATATATTTTTCTTATAGTCAAACGGTGCCACCGTTTGAAAAAATTTCTGGGTCCATCCCTGTTTCACCATGAAGACATACATCTATATATACTCTCCCTAAAATCATACATTCATATATGAACCCATCAATGTCATCATTAGTATTCTCCCAAAAGATAAACAAATATCTCGCAATTTAACATCACATATAAAAGTACTTCCATAATTCTAGTTTGTCCTATATTCAACCGAAAACATAAACTAAACCAATACCCATTACATACTCTGATATATCATAAGAAATATAGCAAGTCTAAGAAAGTCTATACCTTGATATATCTTTTTGTCTAATGTTGAGAACCCTACTATAAGGTCATTAGGGATTTTCCTGACTGTTCTCCAAGACCTTTAAGATTAGTCGAGTCGAGGTGCAAACAAGATGATTCGCACACCATTGATTTAAAAAACCCCTACCACCATTACCATACACCAAATTACTCCAATTTTTTGCATCTTAACAAACATATCATATCGTGTGGCCATTTATGCATTTCATTGATATACCAACTGTTTCTTTGCACGACATGTTTGGATGAAACACAAGGTGTGGCTATCTTGTTTCTACAAAACTTTGGGTGGTTATCTCCAAAACACACCAACAAACCGAATTGTGCTACATTAATACTGGTCCATTCATTAATACCCCGATAAACGTTTACCGTCTCAATTAGTCAACCCTGGTCGATTATTTGAGTTTTATACGATTTACAAATTGGTTTACATACGTTTTCAATAATTTATATGAACATGTTATGTGTTTATAAATGTTTTTAACTATTTATTATACACACCGCCCTTCCCCCTATATATATATATATATATATATATATATATATATATATATATATATAGGGTATATTTCTTTTACAACCTTATGCATTTGTACAACCTTTGCAACCTAATTAATTGAGATATTTATAGAAATGATTGGAGTTTATTTATTATGATTTGAATATTTATGGAATATGAATAGAGTTTATTAATTATGATTAATATTTTATATTAGGAAACAATTAATTGATTAAAAATTGAATGGTTGAGATGAAGGTTGTATAGGGTGTAGGAATGTCAAATGGTGTAGAATAACATCCCTCTCTATATATATATATATATATATAAAAGCAATTATATATTTCAAGTAACCTAAATCTTTAAAAATATAACATAAGATAAGAAAAAGGAAACCACATTGATATGATGAACAACAAACAGCATAAAAGAAAGCAAACCACATTCATGAAAGGATAGGCTCAGTAATCTCCCTCATCATCATCACCCTCAGCAGATTCAGCACCAACCTCTTCATAATCCTTCTCCAGTGCTGCCAAATCTTCACGTGCTTCCGAGAATTCTCCTTCCTCCATTCCCTCCCCTACGTACCAATGAACGAATGCCCTCTTCGAATACATTAGGTCAAACTTATGGTCTATCCGAGAGAACACCTCCGCCACACTCGTCGAATTCGATATCATACACACCGCCCTTTGCACCTTTGCAAGATCCCCGCCGGGAACCACCGTCGGCGGCTGGTAGTTGATGCCACATTTGAAGCCGGTCGGGCACCAGTCCACAAACTGGATCGTGCGTTTCGTCTTGATGGTCGCCACGGCTGCATTCACGTCCTTAGGGACAACGTCACCCCGGTACATCAGGCAACAAGCCATGTACTTGCCATGTCGTGGATCACACTTGGCCATCATGGACGATGGCTCGAATGCCGTATTAGTGATCTCCGCAACCGACAGCTGTTCATGGTATGCTTTCTCGGCCGAGATAACCGGGGCATAAGACGAGAGCATGAAATGGATCCTTGGGTATGGTACGAGATTTGTTTGGAATTCGGTAACGTCCACGTTCAGAGCCCCATCAAACCTCAGAGATGCAGTCAACGAAGATATGACCTAAACAATGAAGTTAACCTTGTTAGAGTCTCACATCAGCCATTTTTTCCTAACGGCTATTTAAAAAAATAATATAATGGATTTCACAATACTCTTACAGTCAATGTCTACCACTCTGCAGACAGTATGAGCATTTTCAATCCATCTAGCCCCCTATCGACTTTCTAGGACATATGTGCCCATCCAGAGGGCGTGTTAGAGTCCAACATCAACTAGACTTGAACCATTTCTTTTCTATATATGTTGGAACCCCCTTCTCCTACTCGAGGGCTCTTTTGGAAAGTAATATTATAGGGTTCCACATTCTTACATGGTATCAGAGCCAATGTCTACAGCTCTAAATACTCTTGACACTCTTGGCATTTTGTATCTGTCTAGTCCTCTTTCGACACTTTAGACAATATGTGCTCATCTAACCTCTATTGAAGAGGATGTGTTGGAATCCCAATCGAAGAGACTTTTAGACCACTTCTCCTTAATATTATATATAATATATATATGTGTGTGTGTTTTGGAAGCCCCTTAGCTCTTCAAGTGCTCATTTACAGAGTTATCTAATGAAGTTTTACATATTCTCATAAAGCCAATAAATTGAGTGCAACAAGAAAAAAATTAAGTGCAAGACCTGGGAAATCAAACGGTTGAGGTTGGTATAAGTGGGGCGCTCGATATCAAGAGAGCGTCTGCAGATATCATAGATGGCCTCATTGTCAAGCAGCACAGCAACATCGGTGTGTTCAAGGAGAGAGTGGGTAGAGAGCACACTGTTGTAGGGCTCGACAACGGAGGTTGAAACCTGTGGTGAAGGATAGACCGTAAAGCCAAGCTTAGACTTCTTGCCGTAGTCCACGGACAGGCGCTCCAGTAGAAGGGAGCCAAGACCAGAACCAGTGCCTCCACCCACAGCATTGAACACCAAGAATCCCTGAAGACCAGTGCAATTGTCAGCCAGCTTCCGGATGCGGTCCAAGCATAAGTCAACAATCTCTTTTCCAACTGCACCACAACAATCCAGAGAAATTTAATCAGTAACAAGTTTTCTTTGAACCCCATCTCCAATTTAACTTTTGGTCATCTTTCTCAAAGCAACAAAGAATTATAAACCATAGAGATGAAACATAGTTTCAAAAGCATAGGGACGAAAATACAAATTTTCAACAAACCCCAAGGACTAAAAATGTAATTTACTCTAAAGCTTAAATATAATCACAAAAAAAGGAGGATGGTGTATTTACTGGTATAGTGGCCTCTTGCGAAGTTGTTTGCAGCATCTTCTTTTCCACTAATGAGCTGCTCTGGATGAAAAAGTTGGCGGTATGTTCCTGTCCTCACTTCATCGATGACAGTGGGCTCAAGATCTACAAAAATRGCACGGGGAACATGTTTCCCAGCACCTGTTTCACTAAAAAAGGTGTTGAAAGCATCATCACCTCCCCCAGGAGTCTTGTCACTCGGCATCTGGCCATCAGGCTGTCAAACCCACAACATCATCATTTAACCACACCCAAAAACATTAACTTTTCTAAATATAATACATTCACGGAAGAAGGAGAATTTCAACTAAAATTATCTTACTCCATGGCTCCATCCACGGAAGAAGGGAAACCAACTGCAATCCCCAAATAGCCATATTTTGACATGATACATCAAAAATAGCCTACTTTTTGCAAAGTTAAAATATTTTTTGCAAAAGCCCCATATTTTGTCTTTCGCAAACAATAATTTTGTCTCAAAATGGATCTTTATAACACTAAATTTAGCGCAAAATGGGTTAGGAAAATTCGGGGTTTTTTTGCATAATGGGCCCTAAAACGTAAAACGTGACAAAAAGGGATTTTGTGGGGGAAAAATATTGCAAAACAGACGGCAAGTTTGGAAAAAGCCGGTTATTTGGTGATGTGTCATCTCCAAATGTGACAATTTTTGTGAATAACCCATCTACAAAACAACTTCCCACGTAACCCTAATAAACCGCAACAAATCGATGGAAGAAGAGATTTTGGGAACCACTTGGATACTGAGATGATCACAAATAGACTGAAGTCCAGCCATCGGTTCAAATTTCAACCAATTGCATTGGCATGAAGTTATAAAACAGAATATCCAAACACATCTTTCTTATAGCAGTCGATCGTCAGAATTACGCATTCAAGACAGTAACATCAGTCTCAACAGAAATTTTAGGCAAAAACAGCAATTCTTAACTCGATCTGTAGTAACACGCGGTCATGAATCTTAGATATAACAAAAACAAGCATACTGTATGATCGGACACGATTGTTCCCAACATTCATCAGCTAATATTAGCAGTACAGAAAAGCAACTCACACAAATCGTTGACGGAAAAACATCAAATAATCATATCTGACATATCTGAATAATCATATAAATGAATTTGAACACTAATGAATTGACGCAGAAAAGTAAACATCCAATCAACTAGCAAATAGATCATTAGCCGTCGAGATAACGCATCAGAACTCTAGACCAAACAAGCATTAACATAAAACTAAAACGGAGGAAACAGTTACCTGAATGCCGTGCTCGAGGCAGTAAAGCTCCCAGCAGGAATTTCCGACCTGAATACCGGCCTGTCCGATGTGAACCGAGATGCACTCCCTCATTTTCGGCTGGATTGTGAAATCAAAATCAGGGATCTAGGAATGGATTTTGAAGATGAGAGAAATTTGAAGGGCGTTTATTAAGACGCCTCTCCAACTGATTTGATTGTGGGAATCTGATTGTGAAATTGGGGGATTTTTATAGGCTCATCTGCATGGTTTGCCAGCTAAGAACTACACAGGTGACATGATGGATTTAACCACCAAAGGTTACTGTCCATTATTTATTTAAGGAAAAATCATGAAAATAACCACTAACATTCTTATACTATATAGCATTCTTATATAAAATAACTAGTTTTTAAGGGTTTTACAAAAATAACTAGTTTTTAAGGGTTTTACAAAACTAACCACACAGATCTCCCCCGGGAGCGATCCGTACTAGTGGGGGCGATCCGGCCTTTTTTTAGAAAAAAAAAAATTTAAAATTTCTTTTTTTCCACTTATATATATATATATATATATATATTACTGCAATTTATATCGTTTTTTTATGTAAATGTAAGTAGGTATATATATACGTATATACATACGTACACATATATACGTACATACATACGTGAAAATACGTAAATATCGTTTTTTTACGTAATGCATCTCCATATATATAAATGTTACCGCCACTTCGAAGATACATACAAACATCATCACTTTGACGTGATTTCATGTTTTGTGATGGTTTATTGTGTTTAATGGGTTAAGGGTTGTGAGAGTAAAATATAGGAGAAAATAAATGAAAGAGAAAGTGTGAAAAATTATGAAATAGGAGGTTGGTATTTATAGTGAAATTGATATTACAAAAAAAAGAAATAAAATTTAAAAAAAGAAGAAAAATAGCCTGGATCGCCCCCAGCGGCGATCCGATGACATGGCTCGCCCCAAGTGGAAAAAAAGAAATTTTAAAAAAAATTTCTAAGAAAAATGCCGGATCGCCCCCCACTAGTATGGATCGCCCTCGGGGGAGATCCGTGTGGTTAGTTTTGTAAAACCCCTAAAAATTGGTTATTTTGTGTAAAATGGTTGTATAAAGTAATTAGTTTTGTCATTTTCCCTTTATTTAAACCTAAAAATAAAGAGTTTATTTTAAACTACAAATTTGTGAATAATACTTTTTGTTTCTACAGTTTCGAAATTATAAGATAGTCTGATTTAAGGGGTGTTTGGGATTGCTTATTTGAAATAACTTATATTTTTCTACAAAAGTGTTTATCAACTTATTATAAGTTAGAATGGTTTAACTTCTTCAAAAACTTTTTATTATCGGTTTGACACCAGTATAAGTTGTTTATCCAAACACTCAAAAATGTTTATTACCGGTACAATACCGAAATAAATTTATAAGTTGTTTTTATAAGCAATCCCAGACACCCCCTAAAAAGATGTCTAGATTTGGTCATTTCCTATTTCCGGTTTTTTTTTCTTTTATTCAACCAAAATCGATTTTGTAATTTGGTTCATGTGGTTTTTGATTAGGTAAAGGACAAAAAAAATTGATAAAATGACAATAAGACTTCTTATTTAACTAAATGATTTTTTGAAAATCATGATAACGATCTTTAATTTTAAAACTGTAAGGACGAAAAATGTTATTTTTGACAAACCACGAGATTCAAATTTTGTAGTTTACTTTTTATTTTAATTTTAAAAATTGAAAAACAATAAAATATTCATTTGTATCTAAGTTAGGGACTGATTACCAAACGTTTACCCGGGTAAGACTTATCAAATCACATTACCTTACCGGATGAATATGGTAAGAACCAATAATCTTACCCGGTAAGAGGGAGACAAGGACCGAGAGTTTTACCCGGTAAGTGAGGGCGACGACTCTTACCATGGTAAGCGCTTACTGGATATATTGTTGCATACGATATCGTTTTAGTGGACTAAAGTCCTACCCGGTAAGTAAGTGGTAGTGTTAAATTTTACCCATAAACGCTTACCGGATAAGTGTTTGGTAAACGGCCCCTTAGACTCGACTAATAACTAATTTCTGGAAAATCTTGAACTAAGAGCTGTGTTTTTAGAAAATTTAGAATCTAAGTATTGTATTAAACATAGTAGATTATGGCTTGTTTGGTTCGATTCTTCGGTTTTGTTGGTTCAAATTTGCACAACCGTAATTGTTGTCTGATTTTTTATCTTTATATTGAGATATTAACCATACAAATTATTTCCGTCCACATGACTCGTGTAAGTATTTCAATTATTTGTACATAACAAATTCCCTTCATCGGAAGACGGGCATGTCCTGACCCATACATCAAGAAGTTGAGTTTGCTAAAAACTTAACAAATCTCTTTCATATTCATGTGAGATGAGTTGTTTCAAACTTCCCCACTTAAATCCTAAAGTATTCGTCAAGTCTGCCCCATAATATTACTTGTAATCAACAACTTGAGATTCAACTAATATGTTACAAACACCCCCCTCCTCTTTTTGAGGACTTATCATGTCGGATGAGGTTTGTGCCACCTTCCTGATAGTACGAAGATTGGTTCTAAAACCATTTGTAATTTCTGGATTTGTTATCTCATGTCGGCTTTTCGTGAAAAAATATCAATTGAAGTGGCGGGTTTTTTCAAACAACAAAGGGTTGGTCAACTACTCAATCAAATGATATTGAGCATGTTTCCCATCTCTTCTCGAGAAACAAGTGGGCTATTTCTTTGCAAAAATTGTGATCGATTTCATATGTGGCAATTCCGCCAAGATCACTTCGTTAGTAAGGGGAAGAATCTGCCTGAATCGAATTTTTTGAGGAACGTATCGAGAGAGAATTTGATTTGGTTAGATAATGTGTGGCTGGTAAACAAGGATATGTTTTTTCGCAAGGTACGGAATGTATCGAACACGCTCATGGATCTCTCTATCGTCTCCCCTATCTTTGGCTTGCCTCACCGATCTCTCTCTCGCATCCCCTCTCTTCGGCTTGCCTCCGCGAACTCGTTTACCGATCTCTCTCTCTCACCTCCCTTCTCTTTGGCTTGCCTCATCGATCTCTCTCTCTCTCACCTCCCCTCTCTTCGACTTGCCTCATCGATCTCTCTCTCTCACCTCCCCTCTCCTCGGCTTGCTTCCCGGAACTTGCTCGCCGATCTCTTTCTCTCCTCCCCTCTCTTCGGCTTGCCTCACTGATCTTTCTCTCTCTCTCTCTCTCACCTCCCCTCTCTTAGGCTTGCCTCATCGATCTCTCTCTAGCCGAACTCCCTCTCTCTATGAACCTGTGTGAGTAGGAGCAATTGAATTTGTGTAAGATGTAGGATTCAACAAGCAATCGAAGCTAGAGAACAGTGGTCAGCGTGTTTGGGGAGAGAGGTAGTGGGGAAAAACAATGACTGAGTGGATAGGAGTGTGGTATATTAGCTAAGCGAATCAGCCTCTATATTACCGATTAAGCTTTTACCGAACACAAAGCTACGACTGTGCAAATCAGCCATATCTATTATATGGCTCAATAAGTCGTTATCGAATAGCCCCTAATTTTGATCTATGTATACATACATATGACATATATACATATAATATAATATACTTTGATATGATATATATTTATAATATTATTTTCTTTACAAATATACTTATGTTTTTTTATAGAAAAACGTTAAAGGACTAACATACCCTTGATTTAATACAGCTATTGTTAATGGTGTTAAGGTAAGAGACATAATCCATAACAAAGGTAAAACCACGGTGACTGACCATATATGTAATTATTTCGTTTGGAGTACTCAATCCAAATTTTCATATAACGAAAGGGACTAAATCTGTATTTTACTCTAAAAAGAGAAATAACTCATTTAAATTTATTAATAATTAGAGTTTAAATAATAATAATTGATAATGCGGAAATCCAAAGAATCATTTCAAAAATAGAATAAAAATAATAGAGTGGGCCGTGAGACGTGATGCACATGGGTCGCTGATCCAACACGTGAGAATGGGTCCTTGGTTAGTTGGCACATTGTATCATCTATAATCATTTATAAAACAATCATTATAGCTTTTCTTACAATTTATATATAAAACCAAATATTCATCATAAATAATTCAAATAAAAAATAAAAATTCGATGTTTGAGAGATATAATTTATTCACCTATTTGCATAATTATCTAAATTCAAAACTCAAAATTTAGATCTTCAAGTATCCTGAAGATTTAGAAATAGTAAATGCAAAGAGCTGTTTTTTTAGTTATTAAGGTTGCTTTTGGTACAAGTACAGGACAATACAGGATGAGATAAAATTTACTGTCTCATTGTTGCTGGGACGGGTTCAAACTGGACTGAAGGGAGGAGGAATTTAAGAGCCTTGGAGGCTGGAATATAAATAGAAAAAACGACTTCCGATCATCCAATTCGCTCCAACATACATGCATGATAGTTTCTCGAGGGTAACCCAAGGGGAAAGGGCGGTAAGGTGATACGTTTAAGCTACACCTAAGGCGTTGATTGTTATTACTTTTGTAGGAGCTATGACTGGGAAGGGCTAGTGGTGGGCATTTGGTAAAGTCGGGCCGATCGGGTGTCTCTTTCCTAAGATGTCTTTCAAGATGAAGAAGGAAGGGCGTTTTGGCGTGATAAGAGACAAAGCAAGATTTCACTGTCCGATGTTTGGTGCAACATGAGATAGAGACAAGAATTGGGACAAGTTGAAATATTTTAGAAGAAAAAATAAGTGGAATAAGATGGGACAAGTATGAGACAAAAACTAAAATACTACTAATTAACTCTCGTTTGATATATATAACATTAACATAATATTTGTTTTAATGGTCACCATCATTAGTTGCGGCCATCACCACTAACGGTAGCCACCTATGGCCACCTCCACCACTTTCACAACCACCATCGACCATCGACCACCACCGTCTATCAGCACCTCCACAACCACCATCAACCACCACTCACAATCCTCCATCACCACTACCATCGTTGGCCACCTCCACATTCTCTACTACTACAACAACCTCCTACACCACATCCACAACTGTCATCAGCCACCGACCAACACCATTCATCGCAACCACCCTGGGCCACCTCACATCCACCATCGGTTACCACTATCACTACCACTCCCCACCACAATCACCGGCTACCATACCACCATCTGCCACCATTACCATTTTCTACCATATTCAAGTCCTCCATAAACCACCACCGTCCATTTCCACTACCGCTAGTTTTGTCGACCATCAGCACCTCCACCATAACAAATTGCCCACTAGTACGCCTACCACTACTATATAGGCCACAACTACCTTCTCCACCACTGTCGACCGCCACCACCACCACTATCCACCATCTTCACGTCCTCCACATCCACCATCTTCCACCAATTATATATCAATGCTAATGCCTCCACAACCATTGATAAAAATCTTCTAAACCGAATAAAGTATAATCTCCTTTGCATGAATCGGGTTTTTTTAAAACTACGATCAGTTATATAAAAAATTTTATTCAATTTTGGTACTAGTTTATATTTATGTATATGAAAATTGTGTAAAAATGTTTAAATTTTTTTAATTATTTGTGTTAATTATAACTATTTTATGATATATAAAATCATAAAATAATTGTGGGGTCAATATTGTATAGTTATGTTTTGTTCAGTCCTAGTTGAACCAGATACCAGACACACTCTTATTTTGTCTAGTCCAGTCCTATCCTCTTGTCATGTTCAGTCATGCCCAGTTCTGTCATGTCCAGTTCTGTACAATCATGTCTGCGTATCAAACGCTACTTTAATAGTTCCATTAAGAGGTTGTCTTTGATTTTGCCAATGCTTGATTTTCTTTTCTTTTGTTAACCATAGGTTTCGCATCAGTTTATGCGCACCAACTAATTCCAGGACCTTGAAGAACAACTAGGAAATCTTCAGTGGCCTTACAGGAGTCGAACCCCGTGATCTAGAAGAAAAATCACAAAAGCCAACATTTTATTACCAGTTAAATTAACTCTACAAGATGAGGCAGATCTCTTTTGGCAATTTCTTTCAACATTTTGAATCATTCATTTCTTCTATGAATGGTTCTTTCTCAAGCCATTTTTTTCCACTATTACCCATGATCATTCTACAACAAACCATTTACCATATAACATCAAATAACCCGTAAATTATGTTACGTGTACAATTTAAATAAGAGATGAAACTAATGTATATGATAAAAATTGAGGTTGTAAGAACATTTTCAACAGATTTTTTAAAATGAAAATTTTGGGAATTTTTAACTAATTTTTAGTTCTAATAAATGTTCAAATTAAAAAACAAAACATAAATAGTGAAATTCTTCAAATTTGTAAATACCCTATAAATGATTATTTACGAAAAGATAAATGTTTTTATTATTCTCAGAAATAGAAAAACTTGAAATTTATTTTTTAGAAAAAATAATATTTAGTTAGATATAGTAAATATTTTTAATATTATAATTAATGTTATCTATACTACCTTATAAACCAAATTTATCAAAAGTCTTAAAAACAATTTTTAATGCACAAAGTACTATACATTTATGCACAAAGACTTAATAGTCTTAAAAACAATTCATAATGCATTAAATACTACTATTTTATGAATTCAATCTTAAAATCTCTTAATCTACAATTAAAATATCATATAGTACAAGTTACCAATGCACATTATTACCTTTTCTTTTTATGTTCACAATATAATTTTGACATCTTTCACTCATGTCTTCAACCTCTCATACCTCTATGTCTTCTACTCATCCCCCAATGTGAGATTCAAATTGATATTCACCATGAGTTATTAAAAGTTTTCTCATTCGATTGCTCTAGAACTCTCGGTCTCGCTCTCGATCTCTTGATTATTTGCTCTTGGTGTAAATTGAACTCATTTGCGGAGTCGTTTAAATATGTTGAATTTTAAATATTTTGAATTTTAAATTGTCATACAATTTTTTTCATCAATAGACTGTAATTAGAACCATAAGTCTTATTTATTCATATTGTATTAATATGTAAAGACCAAATGTAACTTATATCATCGTTAAATATTCTCTAATAAAATCAGTGAAACTTCAAAATTATTAAAATTCACGGGTTCCGCCTCATTACACGGATACACAACTAGTAATAATAAAATAATAAGTTTGTTGGAATTTAATCTAATATTTTCTAATGATTTTAATATTTAGAGATGTCAAGAAAACAGATAACGAGTCATATTTACACAAAAGACCCTCAACCATTAAGAGATACAAATTTTGCCCCCAAAAACATACAATCTTAACACTATGCATCCAAAAGGTAGAAATTTGTACCAAAAATATACATATTTTAAATTATTATATTTAACTGTCGACAAGTGTTCAGGCCAATTTATATGCATCTAGTTTAATTTTGTGGGCCTGAAAATAACTAGCAGAAATTTTTAGCGGTTCTGAGCAGAATTAACATTTCATAGAGGAATTTCAAGGTCTAGCCTTTCATTGTTGTTGCTTTGAAGGTGCCGTAGAATGGTTTTTGAGCAACTCGACAACTTTTCTCATGGATGGTCTGTTAATCGGGAATGCGGAAGTACATTGGAGAGCTACGTTCAACACCCTTTCGATTTCTTCATAATCACGACTAGAAGGGCTCATCTTAGGGTCGATAAGTTGATCCAAGTAAGTCCAACCACCGTCACTTGTTTTCTCCGGCGACAACAAAGCGGCCGATGTCACCCACTTCACGAGATCCGTGTTTTCATTAAAAGATGAATCATTTGGTCGCTTACCCGTCACTATCTCCATTAGCACCACTCCAAAACTGTAAACGTCGCTCTTTTCAGTAATTTTCATCATGTATGCGTACTCTGCAATCAATAAAAAAAACGACGTTACACCGAGAAGGTTTCCAAATAAAGAGGTTAGTTACTTAGATTTTTTAAATGTTAATGTTAATGTATCAAAATGAATGTTTTGAAAGTACGTTACACAAAATAAGTATCAAATCAAAGTACGTTATAATTTCATGAAATATGCAAACTCAAAGAAATAATGTGAAAGAATGAAAACATAAAATAACCTGGTGCAATGTAGCCGTAGGAACCCGCAACACGAGACATGGATCCATCGCTATCGCTCGCTTTTATTTGCAAGGTTTTGGCTAGGCCAAAATCCGCAACCCGTGGTCTAAACTCTTCGTCCAACAAGATATTGTTTGACTTAACGTCACGATGAACGATCCCGGGCACACAGTCGTGGTGCAAATATGCTAACCCTTGTGCAGCTCCAAGACCGATCTCGAACCGCTTCCCCCAATCCAACAAAAGCCCGCCTTTTGGATCTTCGTGTAACATGTCGCCTAAACTCCCGTTCTCCATATACTCGTAAACCAACGCCCGAAAATCCTCCCCGACACTACCAAACAAAAGCTTCACGATGTTTTTATGTCGGATTCTACCCAGCGTCTCCATCTCCGCCAAGAATTCCGCCTCCGTTTCCGGACTCTCATGAACTCCGAATAGCTTCTTAACCGCCACCATTTGTCCAGTTTTCATCGTTACCCGGTAAACCTTACCGGATCCGCCCATTCCGATGATGTTGCTCTCCGCTAACGAAACCAACACGTCTTGTTCTTTGAATCCCAGCCGCTGGAACGACGTGATCTTCCATAATCTTTTATTCCGGCGAAATAATCGGGTCTTGATCACAACCCAGATTAGCGACACGATAAGAAAGAAAGCCACGGCTGACAAAATGCCGACTGAATAATAGCTTACTGATTTCGACTTATGGCAGCGAGGAAACGGTTTAAGATCGGGACTGCATAGTTTGGGGTTACCCCTTAAGCTCGAGACATCCAAACCGGTTGGTACCTTGCCTTCAAGATTGTTGTTGGATATATTCAAGATATTAAGTCGGAGTTTAGTCAGTGAAGTTGGTATCTTGCCGGAAAGTGAGTTACCGGAAAGATCCAAATAGTTTAGAACCGGTAAATTCCCGATTTGATTTGGGATTTCGCCGGTCAACATATTGTTGGATAGATTCAAACTGGAAAGAGCACTCCAAGAACTCACAGCATTTGGGATTGCGCCGGTGAACTTGTTTGATTGAAGATTAAGCTTCTCTAACTTCTTCAAATTCGTCAAACACGATGGCAATCCGCCGGAAAATTGATTATTTCCGAAATCCATCTCAACAATCTCCTGTAAACTGCAGATACCCGCCGGTAAATCGCCGGAGAAACCATTGCCGGAGATGACTAACTTCTTTATGGCTCTGGAGTTAGAGATTGTATCAGGAATTGAACCCTGGAACCTGTTGTTACTAGCATCGATGTATTGAAGTGCAGATGAGCTCCAGAAACCTGACGGGATCTCGCCGGATAATTCATTGTTAGATATACGTACATAGTAAACGGATTTACAATCGGCCAATGACGCCGGAATACCACTGGAAAATCGGTTATTAAAAGAGATGAATTTCTGAAGCTTCTTCTTGTAACAAAGATTCGAAGGCAATGGACCTTCAAGTTGATTACCAGAGACATCAAACTCTTCCAAACCTGAACTTTTACCCAAACTTTCCGGTAATCGACCGGAAAACTTGTTGTTAAACAGTTTCAACTGGGTAAGCATGGAGTTTGAAGAAAGAACCGTCGGGATTTCACCTTCAAGCTGATTGTCGTTAACGGCTAGTGACTGGAGATGTAAACCGGCGAGACTAGCCGGTAGTTTTCCGGTGAAGTTGTTCAGAGAAGCATCGAACTGAATCAAAGAAGTTAGATTCGCAAACACATCTGGTAGTTCGCCGGATAGATCATTGTCGTAGAGCCAAAGATATTCGATACCTGTTTAAAATCCAAGTTAATTTGAATACGAAGAACTGCAATTGCATAACAGATGGAACCCAGTAAGAACCATTTAGATACCTTTCAGAAGTCCAATACTATCTGGAATGCTGCCGGTGAGTGAGTTTGTAGAAAGATCGATACTTTTGATGGAGGATAGATCGCCGATAGAATCAGGTATTTTACCGGAGAGATTGGTGTTTGAAATTCGGAAAATTTGGAGTTTTTTAAGACGTCCGATGTTTTCCGGCAACGGACCTGATAGAAATTGATTTTCCGGTGCTAAGAGCTCTGTTAACTCGGTGAGATTTGTGAGAGATTCAGGAACTCTACCGGAGAAAAAGTTGGAAGCGAGATGGAAAACTTGAAGCAATAACGATTCACCAATACTCGCAGGAATCTCGCCGGTAAAATTGTTATAAGACACATCGAGAACCGTCAAGTTAACAAATCTCGGCTCAAATTCTGGTAAGTTCCCGACAAACATATTGTCGGAGATATTCAAAAGCGTGATATGCGAACAAAGAGAAAAAGAGGCGGGAGAGATACTACCATTGAAGTAGTTACTAGCGATACTGAGATGCCGGAGAGTCTGAATCCGGCAGAAGTCCGCCGGGAAGGGACCGGCGAGAGTGCCAAACTCAGAGAAGTCAATGGCAAGAATCTGATGGGTGCGATCATCACAAGTGATGCCAGTCCAGTTACAGGGGGTAACGGAATCAACCCAGTCATCAAGCAAGGAATCAGGGTCGTCGAGCTGAGTGTTCTTGACACTGAGGAGGACAGCGGCGTCCCTGGTGGAGAAGGAGAAAGAAGCAAAGGCGAAAGAGAAGGAAAGAAAAAGGGAAATAAGATGAAGGGTAGAGGCTGTCGCCATTACTGAAGTGAAGCTATTAGATTAGAGCTTAAAGAAGGTTAAGAAGACGATCAGATTGAATAGAGTAAGATATGGAGGGAAACAGGGGAGTTGAAGTTGTTCATCAGATTTAGATTTTGCCGATGATCCATCCTATCTCTATTCTAAAAATCAGATTCCCATGGCTTTGACTAACAAAGTCTTTTATTTACTTTAAAATACTTTGTTTTTTTTATATATGTTCATCAGCTTGTGTGTACTCTGACCAATCCCAAAAGTCTTATTGATCAGGAAAATCTTCGGTAGTCTTGACAAATTTGAACCGATCATCTTTAAAAAGAATCCCTAAATGTCTGAGTCTTATTGTTAGTTGAGTTAAATTTAGCTCAACTTTATTTACTTATTTATTCAAATTTGAGAAGAAAAAAAAGGGTATTTCCCATGTTTTGACGTTGAAATTGCCATATCAGTTCCATAGTAACGGTAGAGGAACCTGAGACCTTACGAATATAGATTATTCTCACGCATCTACCACTACGATAGATCAACAAGGACAAGACTCTAATAAGAGAAAGGGTGTTTTAAAACATATTCAGATGAAATGATCTAAGTCGATCTGATGTGGTACTCTAACGTGCTCGCTCCAACTTAGGTTAGATTGACATAAACTGTCGCAAAGTGTCCAGGGGGCTTACACGAGTACATATTGTACCAGAATGTTGAATCCCTAAAATAGGAGAAGTTGGTTAATATATGGAACTGTCTAAGATGACTCTCTAACAAACCATTTGAAAAGAAAAAGAAAATTTTAGAAATAGATATAAGGTTACGGAAGAAGTCACTTTAAGCCTATAAGACTTCGAAAGACAAAATTGTATTAAATTTTTTATTTTTATAAAATATACATTGTGTTTTGACACCCAAAATTTTAAAGTTCACCCGATAATTTTAGCCTGATTCTGTTATCTAGCGAAATCTCTTCGCCTATAAAATTCTACACTATCAAAAAACCACAAGGACCAGAAATAAGTTTATTCTAAAATAAAAAATAACAAATACATTATTATATATTGTTAAATATATTACTATTTATTATTATTATATATATATATTAATTGTTAATTTTACATTATTAATACATGATTTCATATGGTTCTAAATAATATGAATGCATGTAAAAAAATAGCTCATCTGGTCTCTCTTTTATTGGTGTGGACAAGAAAGAGGGGTTCGTGACTAAAATAACCCTAGGTTTTTAACCAATTACAATTTTAACCCTAAATTATAAAAAGTTTAACAATAACCACCCATTACTCGTTTAGCAAGTGTTAGTACATACATGAAGCATTTTGCAATTAAAAAAAGTATTGATTTGATCTGACCCATGACTTGACCATGAGTTGAACCATGCATGAGACCATGAGACCTACCCTTATACACCGGCCGGTGCGCTGTACGTAAGGGCCCCACCACTTTACAAATTTTTTATTTTTTTTGTTCATTCTCAATACAAAACACTATTCGATTTTTTTTGTCTTGGGAAAAGACAAAAAAAATCGTAAAGTGGTGGAGCCTTTACGCACCGTGCATCGGCCGGTGCGTAAGGATGGGTCCCACGGTCTTATGCATAAGTCAGCTCACGGTCAAATCAATAGCAAAATGATCCATGTACGCACTAACATTGCTAAACGAATTAGGGGTGGTTATTGTTAAAAAATTTATAATATAGGGTTAAAATTGTAATTAGTTAAGATTATTTTGGTCATGAACCTCAAGGAAGAGTCGTTTTAAAAAGAAAAAGTAGAAAAAGAGAGGTTGACTAGTGTGTATGGAGGACGATGAGTCAACGAATAAAAGCACAGGATGATGCGACGGCGTCACACCACCGGCGATTGAGGGTAAAACCAAAAAGAGGGCAGAAAAGCGATTGGATTACACGCAACTCCGGTGACCATAAAGCCTTATCGAATATCGAAATTCAAATATACAAATAAAAAAAAATAAAAATAAAAAAGTAGCCCATTAAATTGATTTTGGTCTCCCACCAATCCACTATGAAGTTGCCATTTGGGTTTTGATTTCTAGAAAAGGAATCATTCGATCGGTGTGCAACTTATAAAATTCCTACTCTTTAAATTAACGCAACTTCCGAATTCATTCCCTTAAATAATTGCGTCCATGTATTAAATAAAATGAACATAAGGTTACTCGTGTAACAATTTAATTCAATACATTATAATAAAATTGGGTTTATATGACATTATCAATAAACTAGAAAATGTATTCGTATAATGCAGCGAGATACATCTTGATTTTAATATTTTATTTTATTATTTATCTCAGTCGATGTTATAATATGGTTCTATGTGATTTTGAAAAAACGGTGATGTTTTTATTTTTCAATAAAATATAAATTAGAAGATATCATAAAAATTTAACAAAAATACATCGATATTAATATCAAATTAACTATTTAAAATTCCTCATTTATTTGTGTTATTTTTTAATTCAATTTTTTATTATAATTTAATTTAGTTTCAATAACTAAGTAATTTATATTTGGTTTAATAATATAACTTTCTTATAAAGATAATAATTAATTATTTTGTTAGGACTCGATAATTATTTTAATTATATATTAGATTTTTTATAATTTAAAATGAGATGTTTATCCTCCATTTCATTATGTTTATCCGCAGTTAACTATACGAATTCAAACATGAAGCTTTAGTAAGTAGTACTTATGCATAATTTACTTGTAATCTTGAATTTTAAGTAATATGCATCAATATACAGTACTTCATGCATAAAAAGTGATTTTTAAGAGTTTTTGTCAAATGCTTTATAATATAGAAAAGATAAGGTCATATCAAATTGAGTTATAACACTTAATTTATACGATCAGAAAATAAAGTATCATATTTAAAATTGTTGTACTAAGTTTATAAGATGCTTTAAATGTTTTAGGACATTTTTAATACAAACGTTACATTGACTAATTTATCGGACTCTTTTATTTAAAACATCACATTGACTATTTTAATAGGACACTTTTAAGAAATTAACCTACGAACCCAATTTTTTATAGTTTGTGTGTATAGGACACTTTTTTCAAATAATGTAATATCAAATAACTAATATGACGGGTTCTTTTTTCTATAAAAGTGTCCTAACAAACTTGTTACGACGCCAAAAAAACATTTTATAAACTTATTACAACGTCTTTAAATATAACGTTTTATTTTTTGGTCCTATAAGTTATGTCTTAAAAATTGCTATATCAGGACACTTATTTATTAGTGGCGTCCTATAAATCCAACTTTATTGTAGTGATATGACAAAATCCAGGATCTTGTTACCCACAAGGTGAAAAATGTAAAATACTCTATATTTAATGCTCATAACCGTGTTAACACCGAGGTTCGTGACAAAGAAAGTCCAAGGCTAACATATTGTGGTTTTACCTAACGTTGGTAGATGTTTGGTTCACCGCACTCAAAACGAGATGGAGATTCGTTGCATAATCAGGTCTCGAGGATGTGAACAGGATGGTATCCCAACCACCCCCTAAATTATTACTTTTTGTCAATTCTGGTCACTCGAGGTTAAGTTGCTTGTTGTTAGGCATGAAATATGTTTTGTTTGGTAAGAAGTTGTGTAGACCGATGGATTTTAAGGCCAACGATTGTAAGTATAGTATTTCGAACTTTTAATAAATTAAAGAAAAAGAAAATCACATGTAAAAAAAAAACAAATAGTAAAGTAAATGAAAAAGGTCTGAGGCTACACCTATCCAACCACTTCCCCACCACCCAACAACCCCTCCATTACCATCTAATCAATTTAATTTATGGTTTAAATACAGTGACTTTGAGCTATATTGTTTTAAAATTAGTTGGTTCGTATAGCAGGTTGGATATCAAAATTAATAAAAAAAAGTATGATTTCCAAATAAAAGAAGTTTAAGGAAAATGTTTTTACTGAATTTAAGCTTTTTTAATCCTATTTCTTTGTCTTTTAAAAAAATAAAATACTATTATATTGCAAATATTATATATAGAGAGAGAGAGGGGGTGAGAGACTTTTAATTATAAGGGGTTGTTTGGCAATTGTTGAATGTTTTGGTGCAAAATGATTAAGTGGTCAAAATGATTTAAGAGACTTTCATCATATATTGCAAAATGAAATATATTTGTTTGGTAATTGTGTTCAATGAAATTAGGCCTCTTAATGGATAAGGGAGATTCAGGATACAAAATCATTCAGAGGGTTTTAGAACTATTAAGAGGCAGACTTTTTTTTGCCAAACAAAATTCATCTCTTAACGATTCAGAGGTTGCCTCTTAATAGAACTATTAAGAGGTAAACAAACAACCCCTAAGTCTTCTAATTAGTACAAAACCATCTCAATCGTTTTTCTAGTTTAATAAACATCTTGTTTAATGTCTATCGTATATAAAGTATTGATCATAATGAATGAATTTTAATATTTTTTTTTCATAAATATTTTTATCTAAATATCTCAATTAATTAATTCGTTTGATTTGTATCAATAAAAGGTTTGTAATATATATATATATATATATATATATATATATTAGGTGAGAGTTGGAGGCCAAGATTAATTATTTAATGCGAAGTGGTAGTATTTCCAAGATGCAAGCTTCAAATATTGATGAACATTAATTGCTTCAAAACTTGCTAATACACTAACTTAAAAGCAACGTTGCCGTTATCCCTCAATTTACTATTTCATCCCCCTTATGTAGAAAAGTAAAAGACAAAATTGTCCCTCATTTACAAAAACATGTGCATTCATTGTCGTTGGATCAAATGCAATCGATAGCCAAGAAAGAGTTCTCATGATACTCACGCGAAGAGAGAGTTTTCATTAGAATCCAACTTCATATATATGTATGCGTGCAATCACACTCACATAATTGGTAAATATTGTATGCATGTTTATGTATCTTTTTGTTTCGATAATCGTCATGTATTTTTCATTGGTTATATATTTGTAT